GGCACGGGATGCCATGCATGGCTCAGGCCGCCGTCGCGATCGAGGTGGGGACCGCAGGCGCGATAGCGGTGGAGGAGACGACCGCAGGAGCGGGCGCCTCGAGCAGGCGCAAGCTGAAGAGGAGCTTGAGGCGCTGGTGAGGAGGTGGAGCTACCCCGAGCAGAGAGGTGGGTGGCTCGACTGGGCCCTGGCAACCATGGGTGCAGGCGAGGAGCATGACCGCAGATCGGGGGCCACCTCGCATAAGGGCAAGAAAGTCAGCAAGAAGGTCCGCGGCACGTACGAGAACAAGCCGCCCAACCTCCTTGGACCAGAAGCAGTCCGAGCGAGTGCCCGCCCGGACGACCTCACTCTGACGGACCTCAAGACGCGCGAGGACTGGGAGAAGGCCAAGCTCGAGCTCATTCTCGACAAGCTGGCTAGCTCCACGATCAAGTCGCACAGCATCGGCTGGAGGTGGTGGACTCTCTTCTCCCGCACGAGGGGAATCAGTCCGCTTCGCGAGATCACGCCAGAGAGCAGGAGGAATGAGGAGGAGCTGCTGCTGGAGTTCGTCATCCACTTGGCGCGCCGAGACTGCAAGAAGGTGGGCACCATCAAGCAGTACCTGAGCTCGGTCCGAGCCCAGCACCTCGCGCTCGGCATGGGCGACATCACGGAAGGCGCTGGTAGGCTCTGGATGGCGATCGACGGGCTCAGAAGGAGGGATGGCGGCACCAAGCGCAAGAAGCCAGTCACTCCCCGCATGATGAGGTGGGTCAGGCGGAAGCTGCAGCCAGAGAGGTCGAGAGAGGGCGCAGTTCTGTGGGCTGCGGTGGCTACGGGCTACTTCTTCCTTCTGAAGGCCAGCGAGTACGTCTCGAACGATCAGAACGGCTACATGGGCAACAAAGGCCTTCGGGGAGCTGACGTCACCCCGAAGGCGAGCGGCGAGCCGACCCGCGCGTGGGGCGAGGCGAACGAGGTCGTCATCAAGATCAGGGCCAGCAAGACCGATCAGTACAACAGGGGCGAGTGGCGCAACCACTTTCGTATCGTGGCCACGGAGGATGCAGATCGAGCTGAGCACATCTGCGTGGTGGAGGCGCTCGAGATCTATGCTGGTTGGGCCAACGAGAGGTTCTCGGGCGCGCAGATGTACGACCCCCTGTTCGCTTTCGACGACATGCGCTTGGTGACACGCGCTGACGTCCAGCGTGTGGTGATGCAGTCGGCGGTGGCGGAGGGCATGGACCCGAACGACCCGGGGTCGCACAGCCTGCGGATCGGAGGAGCGTCGGCATTGTACGCGGTTTTCAAGGACACCGCTCTGGTGCAACGCTGGGGCAGGTGGAACAGCGACGCCTTCCAGGGGTACCTGTGGGAGGCGCGCGGCATGGCAGAGGGGGTTGCCAGCAGTATGGCGGCCACCGACATCACGATGGTTTGAGGAGTTGTGCAGTCGCGTTGGCCGGAGGCTCAGAGCGCGTGGGCAGCAGGGCCGATCAGGCCAGTGCTGAGAGCGCAGGGGAGCTTCGAGGCTGGCAATGTGGCGCTAGGCATAGCCAGGAGTGCTGGGCTGTGCGGGGCCAGGTCCCCCCGCCAGTGCGTGCGGGGGCCCTCGAGGTGGGCCCCGCGGCGCGCTAAGAGAAGACCTGGTGCAGGACGCACCAGAGGGGGCGGCGCTGCGCCGCCAGGAGAGCACGAGGGGGGTCCAGCGGCGGCGGGGCCGCCGCCGCAGAGCTCGTGCCTGCGGGATGGACCGCAGGCGCCTTGATGCCAAAAAGTGGGGTTCGAGGCAGCTTGAGGAGGGAGAGGAGGTTTGCGGAGGCGGCCTGAGGGCTCAGGGCCATCAGGCCCAGGCGAGCCCGATCCGCCCGGGGGCCCAGAGGCGGAGAGTACAGGAGGAAACCGGAAACGACCACGACGCCAAAGAGGACGACGACGACGAACACGAGGAAAGACAGAGGACGACGTAGGCGACGACGACGACGACGACGACGCGGGAGGAGGGAGGACGGCGACGACGACGACGACGACGACGACGACGACGACGCAAGAGCGCGCGCGCACGCTTTTGTTGAAAATCCGTGTTGCGAAACCTTGGGTTTTTGTAGGTTTTTGGGGCAAATGATTTTGAAATCCTTCCGAAACCAATGGGTGTTGAAGGTTTTCGGCATACGCGCGCGACCACGCGCGCGTCTGCACTGCGTCCCGTTTTTTGCAAAGGATTCTCGCGACGGCACACGCGCAAGGGCGTTCGACAGATTTCGACATGCGCGCGCGCGCGAAGCCCGTTTGGTAGCATTTTGAGAAAATCTTGAAAAACCGATGGTTTTTCTTAAGATTTCGCAAGAGCTCGCGCGGAAGCTTTTTAAGCAAATCAGTGTTGCGAAACCCTGTGTTTTTGTATATTGTTTGGAAACTCGATTGCGAAATCCTTCCAGCACCGAAGGTTTTTGAAGGATTTCGGCATGCGCGCGCGACGACGCGCGCGTGTGCACATCGTCCCATTTTTTGCAAGGGATTCGTGAACAAATGTTATGTTGGAATAAAAGATGTCACCGCATAGTGTTTTTTTTCCGAGGAACCGCAGGGGGGGAACCCGGTTTGGCTGGGATGGTATGAGTTTATATTTAGGATGGACGAGTGTGCAGAATAAATATGAAATCATACTATCCCAGGGGGAATCGATAAGTCCGGGGGGGGGAGGGGGGGAGAATCTATTAATCTTTTAGAAAGGAGAATATATGGTGTGCGATGTATGGTGGTGTGCAAAATATGTTGTGCAAGGCATGTGGTGTAATCTACGCGGCACAATATATGTGGTGCAACCAATGTGGTGCAGTCTATGTTATGCGGTCTATATGGTACGCAATCTACGTGTGCAATCTATGTGGTGAAATTGACTACCCTGCACCGCGCTTGACCACTCCACTGCTCGCGCAAACATCCCACCCACCCACCCGCAACTTGGTTCGCAAACTCTCTTAAGACCGTGACGGTGGGTACCAAATGGCACTTGCCAACGACAGCGACGTCGACGACGACAGCGACAACGACGACGACGCCGCCGCCGACAACGACTACGACGACACCGACGACGTCTCCAACGACTTCGACGACGCCGACAACGACGACGACGACGACGACGACGACGACGACGACGACACCGACGACAACGACACCGACGCCGACGACGACGACGACGATGACAACGACGACGACGATGACGACGCCGACGACGACGACAACGACGACGCCGACGACGACGACGACGTCAACGACGCCGACGACGACGACGACGACGACGACGACGACGACGGCGGCGACGACGACGACGCCGACAACGACGACGAAGACGACGACGACGACGACGCCGACGACGACGACGAAGACGACGACGACGTCGCCAACGAAGACGACGACGAGGGAGGAGGGAGGGACGACGACGGCGACAACGACGACAACGACGAGGGAGGAGGGAGGACGGCGACGACGCAAACGACGAAGAAGGAGGAAGGACGGCGACGCCGACGACGACAACGACGAGGGAGGAGGGAAGACGACGACGACGACGACAACGACGACGACGACGACGGCGACGAAATAGGAGGGACGACGACGAGACGCCGACGACGACGACGACGACGAGGGAGGAGGAGGAAGGACGACCACGGCGACAACGACGACGGAAACGACCACGACGCCAAAGAGGACGACGACGACGAACACGAGGAAAGACAGAGGACGACGTAGGCGACGACGACGACGACAACGACGCGGGAGGAGGGAGGACGACGACGACGACGACGACGACGACGACGCAAGAGCGCGCGCGCACGCTTTTGTTGAAAATCCGTGTTGCGAAACCTTGGGTTTTTGTAGGTTTTTTGGACGCGCGATTTCGAAATCCTTCCGAAACCGATGGGTTTTGAAGGATTTCGGCGTACGCGCGCGACCACGCGCGCGTCTGCACTGCGTCCCGTTTTTTGCAAAGGATTCTCGCGACGGCACACGCGCAAGGGCGTTCGACAGATTTCGACATGCGCGCGCGAAGCCCGTTTGGTAGCATTTTGAAAAAATCTTGAAAACCGATGGTTTTTCTTAAGATTTCGCAAGAGCTCGCGCGGAAGCTTTTTTAGCAAAGCAGTGTTGCGAAACCATGTGTTTTTGTATGTTGTTTGGAAACTCGATTGCGAAATCCTTCCGGCACCGAAGGTTTTGGAAGGATTTCGGCATGCGCGCGCGACGACGCGCGCGTGTGCACTTCGTCTCATGTTTTGCAAGGGATTCGCGCAAAAGTGTTATGTTAGAACAACAAATGTCACCGCATGGTGTTTTTTTTTACAAGGGACCCTCAGGGGGGGGAAACCGGCCTGCCCAGGATGGTATGATTTCATATTTAGGATGGACGAGTGTGCAGAATCTATATGAAATTGTACTATCCCAGAGGGAAGCGTTAAGTCCGGGGGGGGGGGAGAGTCTATTCTCTTTTTAGAAAGGAGAACCTGCGTGGTACCATTATTGTGCGCAATCTATTATATGTTGTACGACCTGCGTGATGCTGCGACGGGACGGTGTCGGCGACAACATAGCCGCCAGACCGCCACACCAGACCAGACGACGGGCAGCGACGAGGCGGCGACGGGGCGGCGACGGCGACAACATGGCCGCCAGACCGCCACACCAGCCCAGACGACGGGCGGCGACGAGGCGGCGACGGGGCGGCGACGGCGACAACACAGCCGCCAGAACGCCACACCGGCCCAGATCCTCAGAGGAGAAATAAGAACCCCTGAGTGCGAGCCGCGCCCACCCGCGGCGGCAAGAACCCTCAAAAAACACTTTGAACCCTCCCAAACGACAACAATGGTCAGCCCTGGCGAGTTTTGCGAGCCGCGTCCAGCCGCGGCGGCGAGAACCTCCCGAAAACACCCCAGAACCCTCCGAAACGACGACGCTGTGAGAGAGCTGTCGGCATTCGACGACCGTCGTCGGCGCACGCCCGCGCCGCCCTCCTGAGTCAGCGACTCAACCTGCGCCTGCAGCACGGCCACCTCTGAGGCCTTCTCCAGCTCCCGATGGAGGTGGTCCGCCTGGGCTCGCGGGACCGACCCGCGGGACGCCGCCGCCGCGGAACTCCCCCGGCGATCTGCGTCGGGCCGGCGAGGTGGAGGGGAAGGGAAGGGATCCTGAGAGCTTGCCGTGCGTGCGCGAGCGGCTGCGTGCCCTATCGTCACCGTGCTACCACAAGGAGCACACTGCTCCTCCTCCTCCTCCTCCTCCTCCTCCTCCTCCTCCTCCTCCTCCTCCTCCTCCTCCTCCTCCTCCTCCTCCTCCTCCTCCTCCTCCTCCTCCTCCTGCTCCTCCTCCTCCTCCTCCTCCTCCTGCTCCTCCTGCTCCTTCTCCTCTCTCCTTCTCCTCCTTCTCGCCCTCGCCCTCGCCCCTCCTCCTCCTCCTCCTCCTCCTCTCCTCCTCCTCCTCCTCCTCCTCCTCCTGCCTCCTCCTCCCTCGTCCTCCTCCTCCTCCTCCTCCCTCCTCCTCCTCCTCCTCCCTCCTCCTCCTCCTCCTCCTCCTCCTCCTCCTCCTCCTCGAAGGGGGAAAAAGGGGGTTCCTGGCCACGGCGAGCCTGGACCATGGACAGTCTCCCCGACCTGGATCCGAGGAGCGGCCCGAAAAGCAGAGCCCATCCTGAGCCCAAAGTGGTCCTCGCTTCAGCGTCTTGGCTGCAAGGATTCGGCAGAATTGTATCGACCCATCTCGCCCAGGAGCGTCCACGGGCCCCGTGCCCGGGGATGGGGCGAGGGGGAGACTTACCAGACACGGGGGAAACAGGGCGAGGGGGATACTAACCGGGCACGGCTCGCGGGGCCGCAAGCGCCAGCGAGCGAGCGAGAGGGCCCCATCCCCTCCCCGAACCCCTCGCCCCCGAGCGAGCGAGCGAGCGAAGAAACCGGCGTAGACAAAAGAAAATCCCCCCGGGGGCGCCGCAAGGAGAGGTTTGCCGTCTAATCCGCTCGAGATCTCTACTTGGAGCGCTCCAAGGGGGAATCCCACTGCCACGGAGAACGCTCGCGAGACGCCGCCGCACCGCGGCTCTCGAAGCGATTGGCGTTGCAACGGCGAGAGGGGGCAGAGGGCATAATCAGCCACTCGGATGGGAGCCAGGCGAGGTACGTAACGGCGGCGGTCCCGCCTGGCCCAAATCCGCTCAAGATCAATCCCTGGATCTCTCCCAGGTCCGACCTTTGCCACCCACGTGACATACTCACGCAGACCAGTGGCCTTCATCTCGAGCTGTGTCCTGAGCTCTGATGAGAGACGCGAGAAATCTGAGGCGTGTTAAGCATACTCGTCGGCCAGATCGTTGCCAGCTTCGAGGCAGGACTCGATCTGGCCTGCTTCAAATGCGGCGCGTGTGGCATGGCCCTTCACTTTGACCAGCTGGGAACCTTCCACCTCCCACCCCCAGTCCTCAATATCTGTTCACATCATGCACCATATCCCTGCCCATGCAAACTTGCACGAGCACGACCTGGCAGGTCCATGCTCATGCACTCTGCCAACGACGAAGCCAGACCCACTGTAAAGACGGCGCCAAAAAGCGAAAAACAAAGGGCCTGCAGAAGGACCAAGAGCTCAACAAAAATTGATATCTGCAGCGGGATACTGCAAGAAACCTGCGTATATGGCGTATGTCTTGAAGTTACTTCCGGGGACCTGAACGCAGGACCAATCACGGCGCCGCTTGGCGGGCCATCAGCAAAAAAGGGTCGCGCAGGCTGCCCTTTACAAAAAGATGTCCCTATAAGAAGCCGCCCCCGAGAGGCCAAAACCCAGGAGGCCGAGGGGCAGGGGTAAGGACAAAAAGCGGCACGATCAGTCTCCCAGCGGGGAGGCGAGGCAGAGGTCCTCCTCCACCTCCTCCTCCTGCTCATTCATCGTCCTGCTCCTCTTCCTCCACCTTCTCCTCCCCGTACTCCTTCTCCTCCACCTCCTCCTCATCGCCGTCATCATCGACACCAGTGCAATAATAAAAGAAGAAAAATACGAAATAATAACAATAATAATAACAAAAAACAGTAATGATAGATGAAAGCTAATAAATAACATATGGGAGTGGTGATTATAACATGTTGTTAGTAGAAAATCCGAATCACCATCATCACCACCATCATCGTCTTCGTCGGCGTCGTCGTCCTCATCATGATCATCATCGGCATCATTATCATACTCAACATCAACATCGGCATCATCATCAAAATCATCCTCATCGTCGTCGTCCTCATCGTCATCACCGTCATCATAGTCATCATCGTCATCATCACCGTCGTCGCCGTCGACGTCGTTGTCATCGTCGTCATCATCATCGTCGTCGCCATCATCGTCATCATCGTGGTCACCATCACCATCGTCATCGTCGTCGTCGTCGTCGCCGGCATCATCATCTTCGTTGTCGTCGTCGACATCATCAGCATCACCATGATCATAACAATCATCATGATCATCACCATCATCATCGTCATCGTCATCATCATCATCACAATCGTCAGCATCGTCATCATCATCCTCATCATCATCACTATCATCACCATCGTCATCATGATCATGATCATCATCTGCGTCATCATCATCACCATCGTCGGCGTCACCATGTGGGTCATCATTGTCATCATCATCGTAATCATCATGATCGTCATCATCTTCGTCGTCGTCATTACCGTCATCATCATTATAATCATAACCATCGTCATCATCATCATCGTCGTCGCCATCGCCGGCAACGCCATTATCTTGATCAGCATCGTCAGCATCAAAACCCCTATCATCAGCATCACCATCATCGTCGTCTTCATCATCGTCATCATCGCCATCATCGTCATCACCATCATCGTCGGCCTCATCATCGTCATCATCGTCATCATCATCATCATCCTCATCGTCATCGTCGTCGTCGCCAGCATCAAAACCAGCGTCGTCGGCATCATGATAAGAATAGTCAGAGTCATCATCATCATCATCATCGTCGTCGTCACCACCGTCATTAGCGTCGGTGGTGCCGTCATCGTTAGTAGCGTCATCATCGCCATCATCATCATCATCATCATCATCATCATCATCGCCGTCATCATCATCATCAACGACTTCGCCGTCATCATCATCATCATCATCATCGTCATCATCGCCATCGTCATCATCATCGTCGCCGTCATCGTCGTCATCATCGTCACCATCGTCGTCGTCACCATCGTCGTCATTGTTGTTACTTACATCATAGTCACCGTCATCATCATCATCATCATCATCATCATCGTCGTCATCAGTATCATCATCATCGTCTTTGCTGTCGTCGTCGCCGTCGCCATCGTCGTCATCATGGTCATAATCGTCGTCGTCAGCATCACCGCCATCCTCATCATCGACACTACCATCATCGTCGCCGTCATCCCCGACAGCATCGACATCAGCATCGCCATCATCACCATCATCGTCATCATCATTATCATCGTCACCAACACTGTCGTCGTCAGCATCGCAATCATTGCCATCATCGCCGTTGTCGTCGTCGTCAACATCATCATCAACATCGTCATCATCATCATCATCATCAACGTCGTCGTCGCCAGCATCGTCATCATCATCACCATCATCGTCATCATCGTCATCATCATCATCGGCCTCGCCACCATCGTCATCATCATCACCGACGTCGTCGTCGTCGCCGTCATCGGAATCGTCATCATCATCGTCATCACCATAATCATCATCATCGTCATCATCACTGCCATTGTCATCGTCATCATCGTCGGCGTCATCATAATCATCATCGTAGGCGTAGGTACCGTCATCAGCGTCATCATCATAATCAGCACCATGATCAGCATCATCAGCACCATCGTCATCGTTATCATTATCATCGTCGTCGTCGCCATCGTCATCATCACCACCATCATCATCAGAATTATCAGCATCAACGTCGTCATCGTCGTCATCGTGGTCATCATCGTCTTCGTCATCGTCGTCATTATCGTTGTCGTCGTCATCACCGTCATTATCACCAGCATTATCAGCATCGTCGTCAGCATCGCCTTCATCGTCGTCATCGTCATCATCATCGTCGTCGGCATCATCGTCGTCGTCGCCACCATCGTCTGCATAAGTATCGTCACCAACGTTATCATCAACATTGGCAACATCGCCGCCAGCATCATCATACTCACCATCGTCGCCATCATCGCCATCAGAATCAACATCATTACCCGCATGATCACCATCATCAATCATAATCATCGTCATCATCAGCATCGTCGTCGTCGTCATCACCACCCTCATCATCGTGATCATCGTCATCATCGTCATCGTCGTCAGCGTCCCCATCATCATCATCATCATCATCATCATCATCATCATCATCATCATCATCACAATCATCATCATGGTCGTCGTCGTCGTCGCCATCGTCGTCGCCATCATCATTGTCATCATCAGCATCATCGCTATCATCATCGTCGCCATCATCGTCTTCATTGTCATCATCATCACCGCCGTCGTCGTAATCATCGTTATCATCAACATCATCGTCGTCATCACCGTCGTCGTCGCAATCGTCATCATCACCATGACCAGCATCACCAGCACCATCATCATCGTCGTCATCATCGTTATCATCGTCATCGTCATCATCGTCATCGTCCTCGTTGTACGTACCGTCACCATCATCATTCTCATCATCATCATCATCGTAATCATCACCACCGTCAAAATCATCATCATCATCGTCGACGTCATCGTCGTTGTCATCATCATCATCATCATCATCATCGCCATCACCATCATCATCATCACCATCGTCATCGTCGCCATCATCATCGACGCCATCGTCGTCGTCGTCATCATCAGCATCACCGTCATCATCATCGTCACCGCCATCATCGTCATTAACGTCGTCATCGCCATCATCGTCGTCATCATCGCCATCAGCATTGTCATCTAAATCGTCATCGTCATCATCGTTGCCATCGTCATCATGACCATCGTCGTCGACAGCATCGTCATCATTGTCATCAGCATCATTATTATCGTCGTCGTCGTCGTCACCGTCGTCGTGGGCAACGTCGTCATGCTCGTCATTACCGTGGTCGTCGTCATCATCGCAAGCATCATCATCATCATCGACATCACCAGCATCGTAATCGTCGTCAGCATCGCCAGCATCGTCATCATGATCGTCATCATCATCACCATCAGAATCATCATCGTTGTCGCTTGCATCGTGATGATTTATAGCATTGTCATTACCATCATCAGATTGACCAGCTTCATTATAACCACCGTCGTCGTCATTATCGCCATGACCGCCATGATCATCATCACAATCATCATCATCCTCATGATTCATCATCCTCGTCGTCATCATGATCCTCATCACCATTTCGTTGTCGTAATCGACATCAGCGTCATCATCATCATCATCATCATCGTAGTCCTCATGATTATCATCGTCGTCGTCATGGCCATCCTCACCATTGCCATCATCGTCATCATCACCACAATCATGATCATCATCATCATCATCATCGTCGCCATTGCCGTCAGCATCGTCATCATCGTCATCGTCGCCATCATGGTCATAATCGTCGTCGTCAGCATCACCGCCATCCTCATCATCGACACTACCATCATCGTCGCCGTCATCCCCGACAGCATCGACATCAGCATCGCCATCATCACCATCATCGTCATCATCATTATCATCGTCACCAACACTGTCGTCGTCAGCATCGCAATCATTGCCATCATCGCCGGTGTCGTCGTCGTCAACATCATCATCAACATCGTCATCATCATCATCATCAACGTCGTCGTCGCCAGCATCGTCATCACCATCGCCATCATCGTCATCATCGTCATCATCATCGGCCTCGCCACCATCGTCATCATAATCGGCATCGTCATCATAATCAATGTCATCATCATGGTCGTCGCCATCATCATCATCGTCATCATGGTCATCATCGTCATCATCATTCTCATCATCATCGTCATGATCATCATCGTCATCGTGCTAATCGTCACCGTTATCATCATCGCCGTCATAACAATCATTACGGCCGTGGTCGTCATCATCATCGTCGTCGCCATCGTCAGCATCGACATCATCATCATCATCAGCATCGTCATCATTCTCACCATATTTATCGCCATGATCATCTCATCATCATCATCGTCGTCATCGCCATGTTTGTTATCATCGTCGTCATCATCAGCATCATCACCATAGTCATCAACGCCATCAAAATCGTCGTAATCGTCATCGTAATCATTGTCATCGTCATCGTCGCTGGCGTCGCCATCATCTTCATCACCGTCGTCTTCGTCATCATCGTCATCATCATCATCATCACTTGAATCATCATCGTCGTTATCATCGTCATAAAGCGTCATCCTCATTATCGTCGTCGTCGTCACCGTCGTCGTCGTCCTGATCATCATCATCGTCACCACCAGCATTATCATGATCGTCATCATCATCAGCATCGTCGTGAGCATCGTCATCGACGTCATCATCGTCATCCGCATCAGCATCATCATCATCATCATCATCATCATCAGCATGATCATCATGGTCATTATCGTCATCGCCGTTGCAATTATCATCATCGCCATCAGTACAATCACTGCCACCATCGTCGTCGTCATCACCATCGTCTTCATCGGACTCAGCGGAATGATCGTCAAGGTTATCATCATCATGACCATCATCATGGTTATCACTGACATCGTCGTCGTCAGCAGAAACGTCGTCATCATCGTCATTATTGTCATCATCGTCATCGTCACCATCATCATTGCCATAGTATTCATCAATATCACCATCTTCATCGTCGGCGTCGCCATCAGCGTCATCATCGTCATCAGCATCATCATCATCATCAGAATCATCATCATGGTCGTCGCCGTCATCATCGTCATCATCATCGTTGTCAACATCAGCAAAATCGTCGTCGCGATCGTCATCGGCGTCATCATCATCATCATCGTCATCATCACCATCATCATCATCGTCGTCATCATCGTCATCGTCGTCATCGTCGTCATCATCGTCATCGTCATCGTCATCATCATCGTCATCATCACCAGCATCATCATCGCCGACATCATGGGCATCATCGTCATCATCGCCAACAGCATCGTCAGCGTCATCAGCGTCGTCGTGCATCGTCGTCATCATCATCATCACGATCATCAACAACATCATCGTCATTATAATCAGCATCACCGTCATCGTCATCATTGTCGCCATCGTCATCATAATCGTCGTCGTCACCATCATCGTCATTGTCATCATCATCGTGAGCATCATCATCATCATCATCATCACCGTCGTCATCATCGTCCTCGTTGCCGTTATCATCGTCATCAACGGCATCATCGCCATCATCATCATAATCATCGCCATCATCGTCGTCATCATCATCATCATCAGCATCGTCATCATCGTCATCCTTGTCATCATCGAAATCATCATCACCATCATCATCACCATCATCATCGTTATCGTCATCATCATCGTCGTTGTCTTCATCGTCACCTTCGTCAGCATCATCATCGTCATCATCATTGTCATTATCGTCATCAGCATCGTCGTCGTCGTGCTCATCTTCGTCATCATCGTCGTCATCATCGTCGTCCGCATAATCGTCATCATCGTCAGCGTCGTCATCAGAATCACCATCATCATCACCGTCACTGTCGTCGTCAGCATCATCATCGTCGCCGGAATCATCTGGTCGTGATCGTCATTGTCATTATCGTAGTCATGATCGTCATCATCACCAGCATCGTCATCATCGTTATTACTAACTTCGTCATCATCGTCATCAAAGTCAGCATCATCATATTTGACGTTATCATCGCCATCATCGCCATCATCATCGTCATCATCATCGCCGTCGTCATCATCGTCTTCATCATCGTGTACACTATTATCACCGTCATCATCACAATCAACATCGTCATCATCGTCGTCATGATCATCATTCTCATCCTCATCCTCATCCTCATATTCATCATCGTCGGAGTCGTCGTCAGCGTCATCATGGTCATCATCGTATTTATCATCGTCATCTTCATCATCGTCGTCATCATCATTGTTGCAATCATAATCATCATCAGCATCATCATCTTAGTCGCCTTCATCATCATCATCATCATCATCATCATCGTCATCGTCATCATCCACATGACCAGCACCATCATCATCATCATCATCAGCATCATCATCATTATTGGCAGCATTACCATTCTCAATATCGCCATCGTCATCGTCATCATCATCGTCCTCCTCGTCAGCATCATCGCCATCGCCATCATCGTCATCATAATCATTACCATCGTCGTCATTATCATCGACAACAGCGTCATCATCGTCACCATCATCATCATCATCATCATAATAATCATCATCATCAGCAGCACCGACATCAGCATAAGCATCGTCAATATCATCAGCATCGTCGTCATCAGGGTCGTGATCGTCGTCATCATCAGCATCATCGTCACCATCATCATCATGATCGTCGTCACCATCGTCATCAGCATTACCACCATCATCATCGTCAGAATCATGACCATCAACATTATCATCATCAGCATCATCGTCACCGTCGTCGTTATCATCGTCATCATCGTCAGCATCGCCGTCATCGTCATCATCATAATCATCATTATTATTGTCATCATCGTCATCATCGTCCTCGTGATCATCGTCTTCATTATCAGCAGCATCGTCACCATCGGCATCATCGTCATCATCATCGTCGTCGTCGCCATCATCGTCATCATCCCCGTCATCATCAGCATCATCGTCGTCATCATCATCGTCACCATCGGTGCCGTCATCATCATCTTAAACATCACCGTACTCATAATGATCGTAATCGTCATTATCCGAAAAATCGTCGTCGTAAACATCATCGTTATCATCCACGGCATCATCATGATCTTCGTCATCATCATTGTCGGCGCCGTCATTATCGTCATCATCGTCACCGTCATCATCATCAGCATCATCATCGTCGCAATCATCATCATCAGTATCGTCGTCGTCGTTATCGTCGTTATCGTCATCGTCGTCATCATCGTCATCATCGTCATCATCGTGATCATCATGGTCGCCGTCGTCATCATCATCGTCATCATCCCATTATCGTCAATACCTTCGTAGTCATGCTCGTCATCATCATCGTCATCTTCCTCGCCGTCGTCGCCATCTTCGTCATGGTCGCTATCGTCATCGTCATCATCATCATCATCATCATCATCATCATCATCATCATCATCGTCGTCATCGTCATCGTCCGTATCGTCACCATCATCATCGCCATCATCGTCGTCACCAGCATCGTCATCATGATCGTCGTCATCATCATCATCGTCGTCGTCGCCGCCGTCATCATTGTCATCATCATCACCATCAGGATCACCATCGCCGCCATCAATGCCATCATCATCAGCAGCACCCTCCCATTTCCACCCCTCGTCCTCCTTCCTCCCTCCTTCCCATCCCCACTCCTCAGCAGTCCACGTCGGACCCCCGACCGAAGGCGGCGGGAGGGGGCCGAGGAGGCGCGCTCCACCCGCAGAGGGGGGGCGCGGCGCGCGCGCTCGCGGGGGGTCCTGCGCCAGCGCGGGCCCAGGCACCGCCATCCCACCCATGGCTCCTCCCCTCCGGGGGGGGTGGAGGGAACTCCTCCTCCTCCTTCTCCTCCTCCGAGGGAGAAGGGTCGCACGCCCACCAGGAGAAAGAGAGGGGGTTCGCCCAAACTCCCTCGGGGGGTCCTTTGGAGAGGACCCTTTTTGTCAGCGCGGGGCGGTTGGGACCAGAGCGCCCACGGGCCAGAGCGGCGAGGGGAGGCGGGGAAGGAACGAGGGAGGGAGGAGGCGAGAGGAAGGGCAGGAGGAGGCCTCCTCCTCCTCCTCCTCTTCCTCCTCCTCCTCCTTCTCCTCCTCCTCTTCCTCCTCCTCCTCCTCCTCGCTCCTCCTCCTCCTCCTCCTCCTCCTCCTCCTCCTCCTCCTCCTGCTGTGCGCGCGCGGCGGACCGGAGGAACGGAGGAACGGACGAGAAACGGAGGAGGAGCGGAGCAAGCCCAAGGTGCGCCGGCGATGCTGCAGCGCGCCCACGCGTCCCGAGGCCACCCCCCATCACCGAAGGCCAACAGGAGCTCCTTGCAGGAAGTGTCCCCTGGAAAGACAAACGCACCGCAGGATCAACCAGGTCGGGCGGAGAGGCGCCGAGGCAGCAGCCACAGTTTCAGAAGGAGCCGCCCTCCATCCGCGCAGCTGCTACAAAGGGCGCGCAAGGAAGAGGAGGAGGAAGGAGAGAAGGGCAAGGACGGCACGAGGAGGAACGAGGCACGAGGGAGGATAAGGGGCCGGAGGGAAAGTAGGAAGGAGGGGAGGAGTGGGAGGAGAAGGAGGGGGAGGAGGGAAAGGAGGAAGAGGTGAGGAGGAGAGGACTTTAGAGATGAGTCAATCCTCGCTTGTATACTCTGACCCGCCACTCCCCGCACGAAGAGGAAGAGTGGACGAAACATCACGTGTAGATCGGAATACACGGGAGGTCCCCGAGGCAAGCGAGGACCACGAGGACGAAGAAGCGGACCCCGAAGAACGGGGAGACGACAGTGGAGGTCGCAGTTGAGGACGCTGTTTACGCACATCATGCTGAGCTACTCCAGTAGACGCGGAAGACCATGGCAACGGCATGTACCGAACGAAACCCTCGCAGAAACCCACATGTGATCGTCGTCGCGCTGGTGCACGTCAGGGCGCCATCCCTGAGGCAGGAGCTTACCACGGTGACGTGCAGCAGGCTGTGGCAAATCACGCAGACCCTCTCGCACTCGCTCGAGCCGAGCTTGTTGAAAAGCGGCAGCCTCGTCTCCAAAAGCATCGAACCAGAAGAATGGCACATCAGGGTGTTGCTCATCATGAACAGGTTCGTCATGCAAGTGGTGGTCACCTGTCTGTATGTCATCACGCTGTGGTCCAGCTGGAAGTGGCGAAGCACACCGTGAATGAGCGTGTACATCACCAAGGGGACGCACACCACCACGTTGTAGCATTTGCATGATGTGGTTCAGCATGCGGCGCATGAGAGTACAAGGGCTCATCATGCAATAGACATTCACAAAGTAGACCATCAAAGGTCAACTAGCTATCCACCATCACGTAAACCTCAGGAGCACTATGACCAGCACGCAGGTATCTCTCAGCACGAACACGCTGTGGATCATCTTGCAATAGCTCCGCAAACCTATACGCACATCACGCTGCGGCTCATCAGGCCGTGTATCAGAGGGCAGTGCATGCGGTTGTACGGGCTCGTCCCGATCATCAAAGGCCGACTGTCCCCAGAACTCTGGGTACACCACCTCATGAACCTCACGGGCACTGTTACCAGCATCATGGGCGTGCCATTACATCGCCGACAATGATGGAGTATCTGCATATTCGCTAAAGCGATGGCTAAGGCGAGCACTTTCATCAGCAATCGCACGGTCGATCACCTCTTGAAGATGTGAGAACGTGCACCCGTCGCCGCGGGAACAGCGCAGAAAGAAACGGCACGCAGGACGAGTCGCAATCCTCGGGCCCACCTCCAGGACCTTCTAGCAGAAGACATCGACAGCCTTCGACGGCGCAGGAGCGCCCAGAGTACCAGCAGCGACACGATCGCCCAGAAGAGGAGGAACGCCACCAAAAATAGCGGTCGCACCAGTGCTACCGGGCTCACGCCACACGGCGTCCCGAACTTCAACGGCAGCAGCCGGCACCACATCTCCATCGAAACCAGCAGCCGCACGATCCCCAGGAAAATGAGGAGAAACGCCAACGCCAGAGAGAGCCCGAACAGGCCCACTGTGAGCACCAGCGGGCAGAGGATGACCGTCTTAAGGCGCACCCTGAACAAGAGAATCACGATGCGGAGCAGCAGCCACACTAGGCAGCGGAAAACTCGGCCGACCCGAATGCAAGCGGTCCTCGAACAGGCAGAATTCTAACTCGAACTCGACATCGTGCATGAACGACGAGCAGTCAGACACGCAAGGCGACGAAGGAGAAGAGACTGCAGGGTCAGCAGGCCCAGCAGAACGACAAGAAATATGACGAATGTATTTAGAAACTCTCTGCATATCAGATCCAGCGCAGAAGCTCACATGCAGCATCGGACACACCGGCTGCGCAGACCAGCGCATGGTGACCAGCAGCTGGACCAACTCGAGCTAAGCCGAATCGTCTGCCACGTACCACGATGAGGGAGTAGATCATGGAGAACTGGAGGTGCTCTCGTCACTGGCTGCGGAACCTCAACAGCCACCACCTCTGCCCAAACATCACCACACGGCACCTGCACAGGGGGGCACACGATGCTTGACTCTGCCAGCACGAAGGTGAGCACGAACACGAAAAGCTGTGGCATCATGTCCCACACGATCCCGCGCAGGAAGAACGG